TGTCGATCATTTTTGAAACCAGCTGCCAATTTGACCGTATTGAACCACCGTGAATCAACGACAAGAAGAAAGGTAAATAATCTGTAAAAATATATAGCAAGAACACCAGATCAGATATGGCAGAAATATTCCAAGAAAGGAGGAATGGTAGATTTATAAATATGTAAGATAGATTCTGGTGAGCAAAATTGTCTGTATATTTTTTACGGGAAAAAATATGACATTGTGATAATAGAAGATTTGTCTAAAATGTTGTAAGGATTTGGATGCAACAATATTGTGCATGCTCCATTCACCCTCGATCCATTCAAATAGCATCAAGAAGTTTCCGTCTTGACAAATCGACCACGGTGAGATTCGAACCCGGGTTTCATGAAAGCGAACATTCTAACCTCTCGGCCACGCATATACATACATATAGGGTATGTCTGAAAAGTAACGGGATTGGTTGTGCCGTGTGAGCTACAGGCGAAAGCGGGATAAGTGGATTGTGTTATCATCTAACATGATATCCTGGGAGCATATAACTGGAATTTTAGCTTTCTGCAAGCATTGCATTTTTTTTTTTCACATGAGATTTTTGTCAGGACAAATCGTGGCTTCTTCACGATGACAATGCACCTTGAGCATCCGACAGATCCGGGCATCGCCGTACTGAAACAATCTCCCTATTCACCAGACTTTGTTCTGTGGAACTTTTTTCTTTTCCCCAAGGGAATCATTAAGGGGACCCGTTTTGAAGGCCTAGATGCCACCAAGAGAGCCGTAACGATGGAATTGACGGGCATCCAAGAAGAATCCTTCCAGCAGTGCATAGAAGCATGACAGAGAAGGGTGGAAAAGTGCATTAGACTCAAAGGGGGTTACTTTGAAGGGGAAACCATGTAGTTTGTTGTTTGGAATTAAAATAAATTGTTTTTGACACAAGTCCCGTTACTTTTCAGACAGACCTTGTATGTGTATTTTCATGGGATGCATAATAGCATCCAAAACAAAACTGGGGGTGATGATAAAAATTGGAAAAGCTATAAATGACACATTTCACTGAAACCAACAGACGTCTGTGAAACAAGTCATTTATAGCATTTCTAATTTGTCTTATCATTAAAATTACTGTGTTTATGTTTGGTTATGAAACTTAACAGATATGAAAATTTCGAGGAATTTATAAGAAGAAGCATTTTGCTTAAAGGCATTGTTCAAAGTTTGTTTGATTTGCAAGGTTGCTCTGTCGCCTAGTCAGTTAAGGCACATTGGATCAAATGGTTTTCTACATGCAAAAGTTGTGGCAGAACAAATCGTGGTTGTTTCACCATAACGATGCACCTGCTTCACAATGCACTGAGCATCCAGCAGTTCTTGGTCGAGAACATCGCTGTACTGGAACAATCTCCCTATTTACCTGATCTTGCTCCGTGTGATTTTCTTCTTTTTCCCAAGATCAAGGTGATGGAGGTCGTCAAGAGGGCTGTAATGACAGAGCTGAGGGGCGTCAAAAAAGAATCCTTCCAGCAGTGCATGGTAGGGAAGGATGGGAAAATGCATTAGACTCAAGGGGAAACCATGTAGTTTGTTTTCAAATTAAGATAATTTTTTTATGACACTAGTCCCGTTACTTTTCAGTATATATCAGATCTAACAGCGAAATTGTCCAAATCGTGTAACAGCATAATTATCTATTCCACAAAATTTTTAATATCTAAAAAAATCACTAAACTATTTGAGTTTCTTTCTCCAGAATTCCGATAAGACGTCTAGCAGTTTTGACTCCATTTTTTGTAAGAATCACTGAAGAATTATTCAGCTAAAAAGAGAACCGGTTATAATAGTTTTGTGTCAGCCCCATTATATCTTCTTAGCTGAGCAATGGTAAGAGGTAAAAGAACATCCAGGCCTTTCGTAATGGTACCAACATTCATACACTGGCTTCCATCTTCAAAGTCCATTCAAGAACCATCAAGAGAATGGTGAATAAGTTTAAAAAACAAGGAAGAGTAGAGGAAAATTGGACCAGGAGGTCACAACAGCAGAAAGAGGGATTATCATTTCAACTTAGAGCTAAGGGCATCAATCAGAAAAGATCCAACGTTTAGCAGGGGAGAGAGGAGTTTCAGCTATGAGAGTCTAAAGAGCAGTGAAAAAAGACTTGAAAATGAAATCGTACGTGAAACCTGTGAGGCACCTTGTTACTCCAGGACAGAAAGTTAGAAGGTTAGAGAGGTCGAAGATCATCTTGAAAAAGTTAGAAAATAATCCTGAAATTATATATATATATATATATATATATATATATATATATATATATGAACTTTATATAAATCCTTCATGAGCTTCCGATCCTTCGCTATGATTAATTAATGATGAACATGTCATTTTCGTTTATGATTGATTTCATCAAGATTCTTCTGTTAAGCTTAGGGAGTAGTTATACATTATTATTGCTCAAAGTAGAATCCAATAGTGTTATAAAAACCTCTGAGAATTCCAGTAAGATATCTTTAATCATTTCTAAGATAGAACGTTTCAGAACTTAATCTAAAAATTGAACAATATTTCTGTTACAAGATTCCGACAATTTTGCTGTTAAACCCGGGTATATATATATATATATATATATATATATATATATATATATATATATATATATATATATAATATTAATCAAATATGAAATTTGTCACTTAGCTGATTATGTATACCATTATGCTTGATATGACTACAAGTATGAGAGATCAAGTTACGACTTCATTTATTTCAGTACTAATGATCAGTGAGAGTAATTTACAGAACGAGATGCACTTGACATAGTTATTTGCACACATTAGTCGACTGTTGCAATTGGACTAGCATTTAATTGCAACGCAAAGAGAACTGGCAAGTCAAGTTCATTTTAAATTTTAATTTCATTTCATTACATGTCCTCCATGTTTTTTGGTCCTCATTATAGCATATGTTATAGAAATGTGTTATTATGTCCGAGACTGTCCTTACAGTCTAGGAAATAACAACACATTTAATATAAGTGAGTGTCATAAGTTCTTATTCGCGGAATATCGCAGGTACGTCCCGACTTACACGAAAAAACACGTTACGAAGCATCGATATGAATGTTCTATCTCTTAATGTCGAGTGCAATAATTACAAAGACCGCTTCCCTTAAAAATAGTTATCTTACTTTGATTGACATTTTTTTTTGTGAAAGACAATTTTCGTTATATAGAAAAATAATTAAAACATCTCATCATATGAAATCGTGCGTGAAACGTGTGAGGCACCTTGTTACTTCAGGACAGAAAGTTAGAAGGCTGGAGTGGGCGAAGATCATCTTGAATAAGTTGGAAAATGATCCTGGAATATATATATATATATATATATATATATATATATATATATATATATATAAATATATATTAAAAACAAAATATTTTGTCTCAAAGGCCCTAACATCTCATCAGGAGTAAATCGTTGGCAATAAATTAAACGAAAGAACAGTAACACCGAGTATGAAGAGCAAAAAAGGGGAACACGAATATATATATATATATATATATATATATATATATATATATATATATATAGTGCAGTTCGATAAAAGTGACTCGCCTGATTTTTTTTTTTAACTAAATGCTCTCTTCGATGAAACGAAAGTTGAGCTAAATTCAAAAGGATAAGCGATCTAAAATCCGAAGAAGAAGCTTTGAAAGCTCTTTGAATTTAGCAGTAAGTACTGTCAAGCATCCTTTCAGTATAATGTTCTGGGGATGCTTTTCTTTTCATGGAACTGGTTTCTTAAAACCTATTGAAAAGACCCTCAAGAGCGAGCAGTACAAGAGAATTTTAGAGTCTTGTTTGCTCCCTTCTTCTGAAAGGGTGAAAATCGACCCCACCAAGCTCATTTTTTATGCAGGATAATGCCCCCAGTCACAAATCAAAATTGATGAAGGAATACTTTGATGAGAAGCAGGTGAGTGTTATGACATGGGCGCCCCAATCTCCTGACCACAACCCCATAGAATACTTATGGAGCATTATAAAGTACAGGCTCTCGAGAAAGCAGTTGAGCAACATGCTCCATAAGTTTTCTATGGGGTTAGCGCAGTGATATAGAGACTGATTCCAAAATCTTTAAATGATTATTGGAAACGGTTCTATGAATAACTCTAAACCATTCGTTCTTATAAGACATGGCACATGCTATATTTTCCAATAAATCTTGCGCAATAGCAGATTCCATATTCTTAGAGGGAAGGTAACACAGGTTACTTATTTTACCAAGTCTTATTTTCGAAGGCACATACTGATTGATCCTTGTTTCCAAGTGTAAGGTGGTACGCCCCACATAACCAGCAGCACACTGGCAACTAAATTTGTAAACCAAATTACTCAATTTGATGTAGGGCAAACTATCCTTATGAAACGACGGAAACGCAGAACGAGTACGAAAAACGCAACGCATAGCAACAGACGGAAAGCAATTAGAAACCGTCTTATTGATCTGCTTAACTAACCTTTGACTCTTTATTCCCAATTCAAGGAACCTTCAAATATACTGGACACTTAGAAGACCTCATATATATATATATATATATATATATATATATATATATATATATATATATATATATATATGTTTTGAACTTTATATAAATGCTTCCCAAAATGGAAATTAGAGCAGAATGGATAACATTATAGTTCTTTAGTCATATGAGACTTGTATATATATATATATATATATATATATTTGGTATTAGATTTAAAAATAAAAAAATGGAGTTGATTAAACTTAATCTTAAACTTAATCGAGTAAAAAAAGAGGTACTGAAACTGATTGACCCCACTCAGCAAAACCCCACCATGTTACGTACACTGACTCAAACCAACCTCATTCTCTTTATATTCCATTAGTAAGAACGAAGTTCCGCTCAAAAAGATTCTTCCCACGAACCGCTGTTTTCTGGCACTGATTCTCGAGAGGATGCTTTCGTAACCACTACTACGGTTTACGGCCACATTACGTTGAAAGACCGGTCCCCGTACAATCACCGAAGTTAAACAACGTCGAGTCTGGTCAGTACCTACATGGGTGCACGCTTGGGAATACCGGTTGCTGTAAACGTGAATGTGCGGGTGGTGTAATGAATAATGGCTACGAATTGTTAGTCGGAGAGCCAAATTCCAATTCTAGATGGTTTCGTTGTATTCACTTAGCTTTGGTGAAGGTATGGCTTCTCCCCCAGCTATGGGTTAATTAATATGACTTGTATCCCTAAATCATTATTATCTAAAAAAAACAAAACAAATTCTTACAATCTAAAAATATTTTCTGTCTTTAAATAGTCTGCAAAGGTTGATAAGCCGTAAAAAACGACTCAATCAAACCCGACCACCAAAACCTTAACATAGGGTGAAACGTTATCTTTCTCACATATACTCATAAACTGTGCTTCTTAACTCTTACTGCTCATGCAATAACTTTTCTTCAGTAACCCTCTATCTTGACTGGCTCTTGAGCCTTGTATTAGTTTACAGATATTTAAAAGAATAGTTATGAAAGCTGTGGGGAGCAATGATCTCTTACGTCCAAAAGAGACACGGCTTATCGAAAGATTTTACCGTTCGCTTGTACAGTAAGCTGGATCCTTACAAAAGCCTAAGCTAAGAGTTGTAACCACCAGTAAGGAGCTTGCCGTAGAGCGATAGTTATCAAGAGATCCTTGTTGGACATTAACTCATCAACTGACTTTTGTTTTTATTAAATTTCAGTCAGTATAATGTTCGAATGCCACTCAAGGTAGTGGGTTACAGTCGAGAGGGCCATCATGAATGAGGTGTGTGATATAACTAGAATAAGTGTTTTGAAATGAAAATTATGAGGATAAGGAAGACAGATAACGACTGACCCTAGATCTGAAGAAGTCGAGAGTGAAGTGTTCAGGGAAGCACTCACACGGGAGTCTGTTCTAAAACGTGCTTGGGAAGAAGCTGTACGAGTATAACTTTCCTTTTATATTTGGAACACGGAAGAAATGAGGGTGATTCGATCGCGTGGAAGCGGCAGACATGGGGTGCCCTAGCTGTAAAGGTCTGAATTGGTGGAACTAAAAATTAGAACGCGTTAGTGATGGAGCAGCGACCGGCTTGCAACGTTGCATTCGAGTTGCAGAATCGAGAACGTTTTCCATCACAAGTCTGCGTAAACGATTTTGAACTGTATCTAGATTGGAAAGGGAAGATTGTGCATCTCCAGCCTAGATAAGACAGCAATACTACATCTTTTGACCTAATATGATTCTTGGCAGTTATTATTATTATTGTATATTGTTAAATATCTGCCAAGATTTATTTCTTGTTAAATTCGCCAACGCCTTTTTCGGCGGTTTTTTCTTCCTAAAATAAATAAATAAATAAATAAAACTTATGTATTTACGGCCGGTAGATCGATTTAAGCTCAGTTGAATAAAGATTCCTTTAAAAGCAGATATTTTAGAGTTTTAAAACCGAATTCGTTTTTAAAAGGCAGCGTAAATAGAAGTTCTGAGAATCGATAAAAACTGGAAAAATCCAAAAATATCTGCGTTCAGCAAAAATGGAAGCTGTTTTTTGAAATTTTGTTCTTTATAAAAATAATGAAGCGTTATTCTTAACTTTACCATTTCAAGTTGAAGAAGGAAAAAAAAACGCATGACAAAGCAAATAACACGTCAATCATTCAGAAATTCTTTAGTTTACTCTTTCTAGAAAGTTCAGGAGAAACTCGTTCACCAATCATATGATATTTCTGATTGGGCCACTTCAACGTGATGTAATGGTCAACGAGCTTGCCGCTGCTAGACCAGTTACAAGTGAGTTCGATCCTTACTGGGTGCTCCATACTTTAGGCCTTTGCCACATCTAAGCTGTGCTTAGAAAATTACCACATTATACTTCTGATTGGGCACTTCAACGTAATGTAACGGTTAACGAGCTTGTCTTGCTAGACCAATTACAAGTGATTTCGATCCTCACTGGGTGCTCCACACTTTAGGCCTTGTGCCACATCTAAATTACGCTTAGAAAATCATTTGGGCATCTCGACGTGGTGCAATGGTTAGTAAGCTTGTCTCGCTAGAACAATTACGACTTAGCAGCACTGGGTGCTCTATGCTTTCGGCCTTGTGCCACATCTAAGCTACACTTAGAAAATCACTATAGGGTACTTCAACGTTGTGTAATGATTAGCAAGCCTGTCTCGCTAGAACAATCACGACTGAATAGTGAGTTTGATCGTCACTGGGTGCCCCTTGCGCCACATCTAAGATACGCTTAGAAAATTTCCATATTATACTCTTGATTGTTAGCACGTGCGTTACGTCCTGCCATTACCTCAGGACCATTCCTGTTTGGTTACGAGGGAAGACCCACAAAATGGAAGAGAGTCTCTATCAAAGGCATTGTTTGATTTTACGAAAAGAAAAAAAAAAGAAAGGTAGAGGGGGACAGCAGCTTTCTTCTTCTATGTACCGTGTCCCTTCAGGACGTAAGCGGTCGTGGCTCTCCACAATTTCCTGTCCTTCGTAGCTCTTAATAAATTCTGTCTTTTTGTTATTTCTCCTAAAACTTTCGTTGTTTTCCTCTATCCCTCTTGCCTTTAATCTGTCCTCTGCGTATCAGATTTTCCAAGCCTTCTTTCCTCATTATGTGTCCTAGAAATTTCAACTGTCTCTTCCTAATGTTACGAGTAAGGTTTCATTTTTGTTTCTAATTTCTAGTTTCTCTAAAACTTCGCTGTTTCTCACATGTTCGATTCATGGTATCCTCAGCATAATTGATTGTTTGGATTCAATCAACGCTTTTATCCACTGAACCATGTGTCTTTGAGGACATCAGTGTATGTTTACCTGAAGAAGGCCGGAGCCTACAACGGCCGAAAGATCGTGAATATGACAACAAAGATAAGGTCAACAGCCCCAACAATCTAAATAGCGTAAATAATTACAATACCTCATTTCAGAAATATAGACAGATACTGAAGAAGGCCGGAGCGTACAACGGTCGAAAAGTCGTTAATATGGTAATAAAGATGAGGGCAACAGTCGGAATAAGGTAAATAATGTAAATAATTACAAATTCTCATTTCAGAAATATAGAGAAATCCTGAAGAAGTCCAGATCGTACAATGGCTGATACGTCTTGAATATGGCAACGAAGATGAGGACAACGGTCCAAATAATGTAAATAATTAAAATATTAATTTACATATGAAAAAAAATTAAAAACCTCACGACAAAGTCAAAAACAACGTGCATGCGCAAAATTAAAAATATAAAATGCGCCCTGTATATGAAAACAGAAACACAAAGCCCAATAAAAGTGACATAGAAAAATAAAAAAAAAGAATCAGTACCAGCATAAAACAATAACCCCATACCAAAATAAACTTCATCCGGGGGTGGGAAATAGCAATAATCCGCTCCCCCCCAAAAAATATAATCCATAAAGGAAAAATCTGTGCTCCTTTTCATATGCAGGCACGAAAATAAATTCCCACCATGCTATCCACAACCATTCTCAAAAGACTAAATAAAGGCCCATAAGTTAACTCTAATAAATTAAGGTGACCAGGGTTAATTCCTACCGCCCGCGGCGTCCTCAAAAGGGGAAATGCCGAGAGGGCTTGGGCTGTTTTATTCCTTAGTCTAATTTATGTGTGGGGCTCTCCCTTTAAAATCGTTCTTATGCAACATTCTGTTCGAGTGGATCCCGTCTCAGGTAGTGTGGTAGATATATCCATGTCACGTTCTTGGGATTTAATTGAAAATTCAATATTTGAACAGGTATGAAGAAATAGTATTTCATAAACAGCCATTTTTGCATTACTGTCAGTTTCGGGAGACTATGGAGTCTACTAAGGTTGCTAGATCATCCCTGTTGCAGACGCATGTACAGGCACACTTGTGTTTCTTTAACGCTCATAGAACCAACCTATAGTTTATACTGTAACTATGCTCAGCAGACCTTAGTTACGGTTTCCGGGAGAGAGAGAGAGTATGATTTGGTGTGATCATCACTTGAACAGAGACAATACGCTGAAACCATTATTCACAACGATGTTTACTTCATGTAAACAATTTCGCCGACTTAATTTCTCTCAAAAGGCTTGGGCCTATCCATTGTATAGCTTTCAGGGTACCACAAGCTGAGACGCTCTCCCAAGCTTACATTATGTATACAGATTGATCATGGCGAGATTAGAACCTAAATTTCATGGTAAAAACACTGACTTTCTAAATACTCAACCCCACATTACACACCTACCATTCAGGATCTGGAAGATGGATGTTTTTATTTATTTTATTGAATACATTCTAAAAATAAAATTCTCTAATCTTTTCTTGATTAACAAAGATCCAGGAACGCTAATGTAGGGATAGTTCTGTATATTTTTTTAAAGTAGGTCATATTTAACATGTCAATAAACAACGATTTCTTTTATTTGTATTGTGTGTAAAACCCAAAAAAGCACAATTAAATATAAGTGTATATGGCTGTTGACCTGTTTTAAAAATACAGGGTGTCCATAAAGTTCACGTGAACTTTAAAAAATTTATAACTTTATTTGTATTTCCGATAGAAATAATTTGTAAAAAGGATTAGAAAGAAGTAAATCTATATTTTTTAAGGTTTTATTGAAATTTTATTTAAGTTTCCACATGTCCTCCATCATTAGCAGTACAATGGGTAATACGATTTTGCAGTTCACGGAAAACATTTGCCAACTGATTTACAGTAATGCCTGAAATTATATTAGTTATTTTAGCTATACTTAAAACTAGGTACATTAAACTTTATTTTTTACAGATTATTTCTGTCGCAATTACAAATAAAGTTAATTTTTTAAATTGCACACAAACTTTATGGATACCCTGTATAAGCTTTAGAAGGTTGAATATTTACGGCTCTGATGATACATGTTTCAATTAAAAGGTATCTTTCATGTCTTAAGTTATTTACTAAACGTGGAATAAAAAGAACCAGCCCATAAACCAAGATTCAATTCAATGGCCACATTAGTAATGGTTGAGTTGCTTTACAAAGGGAATATTTTGGAGGTGACAGCAACCAACAGTGGTAAGG